AATACACTGATTATGTGACGTTTCTTCAGTTAAGAGAACAGAGTAGTGTACTAGTAGGAGATCCCACTGCAAGATTTCTACACTCATCTCTTTTATGGATGAAATTGATTTGAAATGAAAGATTTTTTTATCCTGTTTCCGAAACGCATAGGGTGCCTAACCTTTTATGGTCCATTTTTTTGATACAATAAAAATTTCTGTGAAAATTTGTTGAAATGTTTCACTCATAAGTTTTATGGATGAAACTTGTATTAATGGAAAGAACATGAAAAAAATAATAAATAAATGATAGGTTGCCTCATTTCCAATGGTCTCGTTTCCTGGCAGCCACTTGAAAATTTCCCACTTTCTGTTGAAATATTTCATTCATAACTTTTATGAAAAAATCCACCACCAATGTAAAGATTGATCATTTTTCTACACGATAAGAGTAGGTTGCCTAAAAGAATATGGTCCAGAAAATTAGTTGCCACATATTAAAATTGAAAAATTTATTCGAAAGTTGAGAAGAAATTGCGCAAAATATATACGTAAAACAGGTGACAAAAGACGAACGTATCATAAATGGTTGATACGTAGAGGTTATTTGATATTAAAAATTTGTCAGAAGATAATGAATAATGCAAAATAAACGTATATAATACTCAAATAAAAAACAAATTGTTTTTCAATAATAAAAAAAGCAAAACTGTTTATAATTAAAGAATCATATTAAATTGCGATAATAAAATCCATATATTGTCGTTTGTAATTATTTTAAAAAGTCTTGCATATTACTAAATGCAAAGACATATTAAATTTATAATTATTAAATTTTATTTAAAAGTGGTAATTGCTGATTAATATTTTCGGTAATCATTTCATGAATTGTCAACGAATTATTTTATTATTTATATACGTCAAAGAAACAAAACAACAGCGTTCGTGTCATCTAGTTGCGCGGTTTTTCTCACCTTTCAAATAAATTTTTTAATTTTTAATATGTGGCAACTAATTTTCTGGACCATATTCTTTTAGGCAACCTACTCTTATCGTGTAGAAAAATGATCAATCTTTACATTGGGGGTGGATTTTTTCATAAAAGTTATAAATGAAATATTTCAACAGAAAGTGGGAAATTTTTAAGTGGCTGCCAGGAAACGAGACCATTGGAAATGAGGCAACCTATCATTTATTTATTATTTTTTTCATGTTCTTTCCATTAATACAAGTTTCATCCATAAAACTTATAAGTGAAACATTTCAACAAATTTTCACAGAAATTTTTATTGTATCAAAAAAATGGACCATAAAAGGTTAGGCACCCTATGCGTTTCGGAAACAGGATAAAAAAATCTTTCATTTCAAATCAATTTCATCCATAAAAGAGATGAGTGTAGAAATCTTGCAGTGGGATCTTAGACTATACGTTTAGTGTCAAAATGTAAAAAAGTGCTGGCAACGAAAACCAACCTTATGATATTATAATAGGACATTTTTTATAGAAAATGATATATTATGAGGTGTATAGAGTATATCTACTGCCTTTAACTTCTCGGAGGATTAAATTTACCCCACACGGTAAGCCTACCTTACTTATACCTTCACATTACTATCAGGGCGGAAGTTTTAAGTTCACTATAAGTTTATTAGTTACTACAGGTTTACAATGTAACATATAAATAAATATACGATAACCTAACTACAATAATATGTTCTGCTAAGTGGGTTAATAAAACATTTTAAACATTTAAGAATAATAAATTATTATTATTATTTATAAATAATTTTTTTATGAAAATACTATATTTTTTCATTAGATAATTTTTGACAAAAAAAATGCTTATAAACAAAAACTTTTATATTCAAGTAAAAAAACTTGTATAATTAGTTTTATCTTGTTAAGTTAGTTAAATTATATATATATATATATATATATAGATATATAATATCAAAGACAACATTTGTTTAAAAAAATTTTTTGTATACAGACTTCATAATTTAATATTTTCATATTCAAATGTTATTACATATGAAATTGTTTTTAAAATATTCCTTTTACTAATTTTTATTTAGTAAATACCAAATTGAGAGATATAAATCAAATGTTTGCCGGAAATAGTAACAGTATATATAATTTTGTTTAATATTATATCCCGGAAGTTTTTATCTTATTTACTTTTTATATTGCCAATTTATCATGAACACAACTTTTTATTCTATAATAAAAAAAGCGCTAAAATTATCGATTTTAATTTCCTAAAATATATTACATAATTATTTATTGTTTTTTTACTGATTAACTTATTTTAAATAAATCTCATTCTAGAAACATAAAGATTTTTTATCAATTACGTTAGGTTTGAAATTTAATAAATAAACCAAACATATAATATTTAAAAAATACAAAACAAATTTGAAAACATAATCTATATTTTTATTCGTAAAATAAAATAAAAACTAAGGAAATGTTAGACAAACGATTTATGAAGCAATATGTTTTAATGTTTTTTTTATTAGTATACACTTTGATAATATTAAAAGTATATTTAAGGTAAAGAAATAAAAATCTTTTTTTTTATATTTGCTTGTAAATTTATGTTTCAATTTTTATGTTAATCTTTTTTTTGTATGTGACTTCACTATCTACAATTTCGAAATTATTCCAAAATGAATACAAATTGAGTTTTAGGATTAATATGTTCCTAATGTATTTCGATTTTTTATGTTCATTGATAACAAAATAATGTTACAAGTCATTACATCGAGGGGTCCTAAATGAAAACTTGTTATTCGTGAGTATATAGAAAACCCCGTTATTCACAAAAACAGATTGAAAAAATATATACCTATTCAAAATTATTATACTTACTTGAAAGATATATTTTAAAACTTTAATTAACGTCTATTTCGATAATACCTAAGCAAATTATAAAAACGTAAGTTGATTTAATTATTATAATGTTAAATTAATTTTATATTACTAACATACTTTCCTTTGAATTGACTTTAAATGACAAAAATTAAGAAATTATATTATTTTATATTTCTGTAAAATTAAATTTTTTTTAAAACTTTTGTAGATTATGCCAAGGGTCATAAAAATTAATCGAAAAACGAAAAATTACAGAAATTTTATTATACATTTTGATAAATAACACAGACCCACAAAAAAAAGTATTTTTCCGAGACACTACACTAGTGTATTCCCATGTATTTTTCGCCGCTGAATTCGAAGTCAGAATTGTCAGATTGGCTCAAAATTTTTGAGACTTTAAAAAACTGCTCAAAGAACGAATTAAAGTCGAAAGCGGAAATTTTTTGTGCAATGACACTACACTAGTGTATTGACTTATTTAGATTTTTTGTCGGTGGTATCGGAAGTAAATTTCCGACAAGGATGTCCAAAGCTTAAGATAGAAAAAAATAGTCTCATTTTTGTTGCATCTCAAAATAAATCCATATGTTACATGACATATAGAATCTGTTTGGCACATTTTTTATGCGTATGAAATTGAATATGTATTTCATACTCATTTTGATACCAGATTTTTTTAAAGGAGGTAAATTTAAAATCTAGATTCGAACTAAATAGAAAAATGATATCATTGTAGTGACATAAAAAAATTTTTGTTGATTTTAATTAGTTTTTTTAAGTCGTCTTTTGAGTATAACTCAAAAACAAGAGCCAATCTGACTATTCTGACCTCGGATTCGGATTCAGCAGCGAAAAATACATGGAAATACACTAGTGTAGTGTAGTATCTCGACCAAAACACTTTTTTTGTGTGTGCCTGTATATTTTTATTTTTATTATGCAAGATCGAAGAATTATTTATTAGTGAATTCGCGAAATGATGATAGCAACCACTGAAAAAATTTATAGATTTTGAGGATTCAGTACTAAATTTTGACATGTAAAAATACACATGAAGTTTGTAAAATTTTCTATTATTGTTTCAACTGTATTTACAAACTTCATTTATATTATCACATGTCAAAATTCAGGAGTGATTCCTCAAAATCAAGGTTTTTTTTCTATTAATTAGTGAAAAAATTATTCAAATAAAAATAGATTAGTAATTTTATTTTTTTGACAAATTTTTTTTTTAATTTTGAGGACGTATTGTAAAGAGATTATTCTTGCATTGATATTGTGGAATTTGTAAATATAAACAGGAAATGGTCTATGTCCTGTGGAGCCATCATAAATTATACTCTGTAAATTTATAAATCAGTGAAAAAGTCACTGATGTCAAATCAGAAGTTATATTCCAGTTATTTGAATCAGTGGAAGCACTAATTTTAATAACTGTAATTATTTATAGCCACTGATTTGACATCAGTGACCTTTTCACTGATTCAAAAGAGAGTAAATTTCAGATAAAGATAGTTAAAATTTTATGACAAAGGGAAAGGTTTTTTTTCTCTGATCTCTTTCCTTCTTCATCTTTATTTTCCCAATAAATTTGTCAGTTATTTTCCTCTCTTAAAGTATCTTATAAAATGAAGATAAGTTTTGTACGTTACCTCTTTTGTTTAGTAAATTATTTTCAATGTTTGTAATATCAACAATCACTTTTGGTAATTGATTTTGCAATTAAAAATATTTTTGCATAATATAATACATGTTATTGTTATATATATTGACTATATACACTTTTGAATAATTATTTATATGAAGTCAATGACATTGATTTCCAATCTATATAGTATGCTCCTTACACACATATATTTATATATACTAGGCTTTGTCAGCTATATAGATATCGCCAGGCAACCCTCTCTAAACCCCTTTATAAAATTTAATGAATTTAAAAAAGGCAATTTTATTTTTTTGTATAAAAACAGTAGTTGAAAAATAATTTTAACAAAATTATATTGTAAATTTTTGTAGCATTTGCCGGTAGAGTATAATATGTCATTTCGATTGAGAAAATGTTTTAGTTTATGAAAAAGGAAGAATATCATCAATATTACAAGGTGACTTTGAAAAAAGAAAATATTTTTTTATTACTCACCGAAAAAATTGTAGATCCTTTGACAAGACCACCACTTTTTATAATGCACAAAGGCGTACCGGTTTACTTAGAACTACGCGGAATGAATAAACGAATAAACCTCGCGAGTCGATTCTCACCGAGCTACTGAAATAACATGAACTGAAATTTTCAGTTTAAGAACTTATGGCTCACAGTTGCCAGCAGCCGCTCGCTACTCACACTGAGGTCTCCCAGCTCACAGTCACTCAAAGTCAGTCACAGCTTCAGCACCTCTAAGTACTCAATGGTAAAGGTGTTGTTACTTTAGCCAGCAGGACTAGACCGTGAACCTCAATAATAATAATATATAGAGATTCTCAATTAGGGTTATATAAATTATACAAAATTGCGTTGCGTTGGCAGCGGATTGACATGGGATGTAAAGATGGTGGAGGGTAACGCAGGAGTAGTGGGAGGAACAGAATGCATCGAACTGCAGGAGCAGCGGTTAGGTTAGATCTCTGCTTTATACATCTGCGTCGACTCCAATTGCTTACGATCAACACAATTCAATTATTGCCCTGCCTTTCAAGCTTCGAATTACACGACTTTTTCACTTTTTTCGACTTATTTTAAATTTTTTCAACTAGTTCTTTACTTATGATTTTCAAGTGCATTTGTCAAATAACCTAATTTTCCGATTTTTATTCATTAATTATATAAAATAAGAATCATATAAAAAATAAATAACTTTGTTCATTTCCACTATTTTTGAACGTCAATAACTTTCTTGGAAAAAAATAAAAAAATATGGAGTTTCGAAAATTATTTAAATGGACATTATATATATACATATACACTAAAAATTTTGCGTTGGCCCCGAAACTATTTTTGAAGATAAAGAGAATTAAATTTTTCGTATTTTTAAGGCTATATTGACAAAGGTTTTAAGTCAATATGAAGTTAGTCTACACCTTCGAACCAATTCAAAATTTTTAGTGTATGTATAATTAGTGTCCATTTAAATAATTCTCGAAACCCTATATTTTTTCATTTTTTTCCAAGAAAGTTATTGAGCTTCAAAAATATAGTGAAAATTAACAAAGTGGCTATATTTTATTTTCAAAATTTTTTATACTTATGAAGAAAAAAGAAGAAAAGTGCAAAGAAATTCTAAAAGTTTATGACAAGAACTTCATATCTGTTGAGTTTTTATTTAATTTAATGTTTCCTATTTTTTATAATTAATGAATGAAAATGACAAAATTAGGTTATTTGACCTGAAAATCATATTATTTTTATTACTTCACATTTTTAAATAATTATATCAATTGATAATGATAAATTTATTCATTCTTAATTTCAATAATTTTTTCAACTTTTATGGTAAATTTTATGATTTTTATTCTCTAATGGCTAAAAAATTAACAGTTTTCAGCACCTCGTATACTATAAATTCATATTTTACAATAAATAATTACCAAACATTTCAATTCAAAATCACTTGAAATTCAATAATTTAAAAAATTCCAATTTAAAACCTTTTAAAGTTTAATTATTTCTAAAATTTTTCATCTAAAACTTTCTGTAATTTAATAATTTCAACTATAACTCTTCCTAAATTTAATTATTTTTAATAATTTTTATAATAGTGAGGATGGTAATTTTGTTTTTTTAATAATATTTAATTATCTGAAAGTATTTTTCAATTAAAAATTTTTAAAAGTTGAATTTTTTGTTTGTAATTTTTAATAAATTCTTCAGAAACTGAATCAATTTTTTTTCATTTATTTTTAAAAAAATTTAAATTTTTATTACAATAAATTTTTAACAAAATAATTTTTTAAATTATTAGTTGTATTATTGGTTTTATTATTGGCTGCTACAAAAATAATCACACGTGTAAGAAATAAAAAAATTTAATTTTATCTTTATAAAACAGTGTTAATTAAAAAGATTGTCTTAGCTGGCCGACTACTATCTGGTTTACCCTACTTCTTTTTCATACTCTCTAAATCTGAATTAGTCACTTTTGACTAATTTAACTGCACCGATTCGTTCATTAAATGAATTAGTAACCGTTTTGACCAAAATCAAAACTGACAAATTGTTAGTGGAAAACTACTAATTCGTATAGTATGGTTGCTACATAAATTAGTAAACTTTAATAAATAAATTAGTAGTTTTCTACAATTAGAAATTTTTTTTTTATTTTTACGAAAAACTGTTTTTTCTATTATTTGAGATAAATATGGAAAATTTGAACGGTATTAAGGCACATGGTTTAAAATGTTTGTTTAATCCTTTCAAGCACACCAATGTTTTTAAACATAAAACACACTATGGGTCTGTATGACCCTATCAACTTTTCAAAGTTCTGACGATGGTATTTCTCTAAGTACATTTATAAGCGCAATCTACGTACTGAAATCTTTGATATTATTTAAGTTATAGTATATCATTGTTTCGCATAGTCATTTTTCTTGTATTTTATATAATTAAGTACATTTGTACGAAAGGGCACTGCCTGTATATGTGCAAATAAAATAAAATATTTAAAATTTTGACTCTCTTGAAATTCTGTTGAAATGAGAATTTCAATTCGGTTCAATTAGAATATTTTAAATAAAAAGTTGGTAAAGGAAAATTTAAAAAAATTAAAAATTTTGTTATGGTTATTAAGTGTTTACAAAATAGGGTAATCTTTTTACATAAAAGCTAACAGTATCGCCATCTATCGATTTTTCAACATACCCTACTCTTTTAGACTTACAGTTTGATATATTCACTTGTAGTTTATATTATTAATTACCAATTAATTAACCATGTATGTAAGTTGAGAATCTGTTCTTCACTGACTGTAACTAATGAGAAATTCACGTGTGCATTAAATGTATGAAGTCTAAACATAACTCTTCAAACGTTAAGAGAATCAAGAAGCAATAGTATTTTATTTGTTGAAAGTGGCTTGTGTTCCATTTACTACATGCACAATCTTTAAGAAATTTAATTCTTAATAGTTGAAACAGAAAAAACATGTTTTAACCCAAACAAAATAAAAATGTTAATTTTGTTCTTTAATTCTGAAAAATTTGTATTTTAATTAATATTATTGTATTGTAATAAGAAAATTTTTCAAATTTGATTTTTTGATATATGTTTATGTTTTCCGATCTTAGGAATCAAGAAATCACATTTTTTAAAAAATTTCGTTCTTTATACAATTAAACTTTACCCCTTTAATTCAGACACAATACAACTTTTATACGACCCCAAAAACCTCTGACAAGTAAACCTACCCAAGTGTTACACTCAGATTTGGATGAAACTTGGCACGTTTTTAGAACTCGTAAAAATAAGAGATACGTATATTTTTATACGTGCTTAGACGACAGTTTAGGGGGTGAAATCATACCCTAAATTTGCCAAAAAACCCAAAAAAAAACGAATAATAATATCCAAGCTCATAAAAAGTAAAATTAATTTCCATGAAACGTTAAACATGGTATCTAAGGATTTTTTGGGTCGTTGATTACGAATCTGAGGTCAGATTAAAAAATTTAAGATGGCGGATTCAATATGGCGGACGAATTTTTTAAAAATTGATTGAATTCGCTTGAAACTTGTTACTCGGGGGTTTTTGAGGTTGTTGATTACAAATATGTCAGTTTACCAGAATTCAAAATGTCGAAACAAAGATGGCAAATTGAATTTTAGTTTTTTAAAATTCATCCGCCATTTGGAATTTTTAAAAACTGACTTCAAATTCGTAATCAGCGACCTCATAAAGCCCTGAGTAACAAGTTTCAAGCGAATTCCATCAATTTTTGAAAATTCGTCCGCCATATTGAATCTGCCATCTTGAATTTTGTTAATTTCACCTCAGATTCGTAATCAGTGATCCAAAAAACCCCTATATACTATGTTTAATGTTTCATGGAAATTAATTATACTTTTTATGAGCTTGGATATTATTATGCGCGTTTTTTGGGGGTTTTTTTGGAAAATTTAAGGGGTGGTTTCACCCGAGGTTTCACCTTCTAAACCTTCGTCTAAGCAAATATAAAAAAATACGTATCTCTTATTTTTGCGAGATCTAAAAACGTGCCTACTATATTTAATCAAAATCGGAGTGTAACACTTGGATAGGTTTACTTAATTATTTATTTTTTTTATTTTCTCTGGAAAATTTAAATAATATCAAGCTTTATATAATTTACAAATCGCTTTTTGGTACAAAAAATTATTTAAAATTTTTTGAATTTTTTTTTGGTAAAACATTTTTCAAGAAAAAAAAAATTACAGAATACATACATGTTATTAAATTAAAAAGCGTTTATTACTACCCGTGTGGAAAACGCCCCGTTCGTCCCATGCGTGATAGGGGCCCCCGGCAGGGTCCCAAGTGGAAAATCCATGAGGGCAAATCCATGCGGGCACCAGCAGGGCCCCCGCTATTTGCCCTCACGGTGCCCTGCTCAAAAATTTGTCTAAGTCCAAAAACAAAAATTTTTTTTTACCAAAAAATGTTTAGTTCAGAATGCATTAAATAACATTTTAAAGCAGTTGAAATAAACATTAGGTGACATTTAAAAAAAATCTAAGTACCAAGTTTTGGAAAACCACAAGGGCACCAGCAGGGTGCCTGGTCTTTACCCTCACGGTGCCCTGCTCAAAAATTTGTCTAAGTTAAAAAAAAAATTTTTTTTTGTATAATAAATGTTTACTTCAGAATGCATTAAATAACATTTTAAAGCACTTGAAATAAACATTGGGTGACATTTTTTAAAAATCTATGTACAAAGTTATGGAAATACACCAAGGCTCCAGCAGGGCCCTTGCTATTTGCCCTCACGGTGCCCTGCTCAAAAATTTTTCTAAGTTCAAAATTCAAATATTTTTTCATCAACACAAAATGAATGTTTCCAATGATTCAGAACAACGAAAAACGCGTTTTTAATAAAAATATATTTACACTTTTTTGAAAATAACACTCACACTTATGGCAAAATAGATGAGGGCCATCGTAGGGGCCCGCATGGATCGCCCTCATGATCGATTTGCAAAATTTTCTAAGTCCAAAAATCAAATATTTTTTTATCAACAAAAAATGAATGTTTCCAATGATTCAAAACAACGAAAAACGCGTTTTTAATAAAAATATATTTACACTTTTTTTGAAAATTCACCTGAGATGATTCATGATAATAATCATAAAGCATATAATTAATTATATTTTATAAATTGCATTTGATTGGAAAATATAATTTAATATCTTAAATTTAACTAAATGATGTTAAGCACTTTTCTTTGTTAGGTATTTTTGAAGTTTAAATAGCATCAAGAAGTTAGCATTCGTTTTGAAGTAGCGTGCGTAGCGTAGTTGGTAAAGCGTTAGACTCATAGTCCGTAGGTCGTAGGTTCGATTCCCCCCATGCGTTAGATTTATTTATTTCTCAGGTTTGCGTTT